GTCGTAAAATCAAAAAAGTGTACTGTGAAAAATAGGCCAATTAGCCTTACGATGTTTTAATAAAGACTATAGTCTAGAACACATTCTACATAACATTTTGTGTTTTTACATTGTTTCACCAAATAATGTTATTAAAATATAATCCAATTTCAACTTGTTTCTTATCAAAACATTTTGTATCAAGACTCTAATACGGAATGTTGGCATTTTGGAAAGAAAATATAGGAGATACCAGAGAATATTTTCCTAAAACTTTTGCTCAGCTTGGAATAATAGTTAAGAAAAAGTTAATCAAGAGTTCGCAAAAAAATACACACTTTAAAATAGCAAAATAAACAATTGTTATTAGGACTGAAGTTCTATAGCACTATCCTTAAGTTGGTTGAAAATCAATTTTCAGTTTGACAGCTTTTTGATCACATTGGTTGACAACAGAACGTAATGATTTTTACAACTCCGAGACTTATCAGGCTCCCATCGTACACCTTAATATAAATGTGAAAATATGACTCCTGTGAACAAATACAATGTTTCATTTACTTTTTTTAGTTAACCTGCATTTGTCGGGGTCTTTAAGGTTTATTAACCAACCAAAAAATAATCACAACCATAATTTTTAATATTTTTTTTTATTCGATTGCTTTGATTATCGGTTCATTCATCGAGTTTCCAGTTTGCGCCTGCAGGAAACAGGTCTCAGACAAGAATTTACTCTTGCTTTCGAGCCCGTGTAAGCAGGTCGATCGATAGTATTTTATGTAAATCGAAAATTAGATAAATTCGGCGCGACTAACAGTAGTTACATTTTTCGATATTTCCTATCCGATGTCAACCCAAATCCCAAATCACATTTTGTTCGGATGATTTTGCATACCACAAAAACTTTCTACATAAATTACCGCTCGTGAATACATTTTTTCTTAATAATATTCAGCGTCCCGCGTTATTTAAATGGGAGGATGATTTTATTGTTCGGAATTTTTCCGATTCATTATGGGAGGCTAAAGTTTACGAACCTACTCCACTTTTAATACACGTTCCTTTGTTCTGACTCATGAGAAGTAATTTCATTAAGTAGATATTATCGGCCGCGTTTTGCGAAGATTTTCGACTTTCGATGAGGAAGAATGCAAATCTCCCGCTCTGCGGCACCATTAGACGCATAAAATTATAATAAAATCGTTGTTACGCTTAAATCGTAAGTTAATAAGACCTATTATCATTTCGAACGCGCCCGAAGAGTAATTTTAAAATGGCGGTCATACGCGTTGTAATATAAATGTAAACATATACGTGCTTATTATTTAATTAGACGTACGCATTATATTAATAAAAAAAAAACGTTGCTATATAGAAAACGTAGTAGTAATAATAAAAAAGTTCAATGTAGAAAAAGGAATGTTTACATTGTAATTTTTTTATACATGTAAACGCCCATGGTAGCTTTTTTTTATTTGGAAAATATGTATTCCGGAAAGCATAAATGTTACCGAAAAACTGTAATTAATTTAACTATAATTAAGCATAACCTGGGAGTAATGACGCATTTAGATATCTAATGTTATTGGTTTTAAACAATTCACAACATCTTATCAATTCACCAACCATGTTTGTTAATTATTTTTTCACTATTTTTTTTTTATTTTCATTCTCATTTCCTTTCACCCCACCAAGCGTAGGTATGACTTCCACAGGCAATCCACAGAAAAAAAATACACTTTTTTTAAATTATCTTTTTTGTTAATTTTTAATTGCTCATTAATAAATGATTTCATGCTATTTCCAATGCATTTGATAATTCTATTATTGTAACATTGTGTGAATCAAGGTAAAAACAATTAAAAGGCGGTGAACATTTTTTGATGCGTCTGAAGAAGAAAAAATCTTTACGTAATAGTATACGTTTATTTGGGTGTGCTAGAAAAGACCAAAATGCGAATCAACTTTATGAGATTACTGGCTTTTTATTGCTCACGTTGCACAAAAGTAGAGCTAGTGAAAGCTGGAAGGATGTGAGATAAAACGAACTTGCATCTTCTTTGTCCCAAATTTGTCACAAATTTCTCCCCAGACATCCACGATTATTTGGCAAGCTGTAATATGTTCCAAAGATCCAAACAAAGTGTGAGTTGTGTACGTCGAGTTTAATATCCTCAAAAAAAAATGCTTTACCGTTTTGGATCAAATAAATCATCAATAGATTGCGAAAATTGCATTGGAAAACATTTTGGAAGCAAATTTCAGAGATGATAATAGTATATTAGAGTTAAATTAATATGACCTAAACTTGAGTTAATACCTCTGAGAACGTGATTGAAAACCGTTCTAGTAACAGATGGGTACCGTGCAGACTGTAAAATATTTACACACCTGATTGTAACAATAAATGACTTTATATTATAAAAACGTGCAAGCAGCAAGACCTGAGGGCTATCAGGATGCTTGCCAACCAAACATGATCTAAAATGTTCTATCTTTATCAAAAAACATCCTTCATAAATTGTAATGCAATGCCACTTAATAAATGAACTAAGATAAATAAATTCGTCACATGTAAAAGCCTTTAATGATGAAACGTCAAAATATTTTTCTATATGTAAACAGATACATTGATACTTAATTTAACAACATTTAATTAAATTTACAATTGTTGCAAGTCAATTTCATGAAGCAAACAGAATGCAGACAAACCAAAATACGAACAACATACACTATATCAACATAAAGTGCTCAAAAAAGCATTAAAAACGATAAGGATATATAAAATGAAAAAAAGCAAACTTCAACAAGGGTAAGCTTATTGCAAAAAAATTCTGAAAGGTCATCTGAATTTAAATTTCGGAGATCGATTCAAATTAGCAGATTTAACTTAATGTTTTACTTATTTTGTTCACGGTAGAAGTCGAAAAATTATAATTTACCTGCCTGTCAAATGCTTGTCGCAAAAGGAATGAAAAGCAATTACACATAGCAAATATAATTATTTGGTAATAAGATAAAATATCATATTCCTGTGACAGTTACCCTCCTACTCAAACATCGTTGCCGTTAATGACGTCTTAATAGTATACCGAATTACAGCCTTGCGTATTGAGAGTTGAAAACGAAATGATTTTTTTACGTGCAATTACTTACTGGCCTCGAAGATGTTAAAGGAACTATTATACAAAATGCCTCGATTAACAGTTCGTTTTTATGTACTTGCAAGCTTAATTACGATACTTCAAGATATAAATATAATAAATTATGAGATTTTTCTTGTGCTTCTTTGTGCTTATATGAAAACTTATAATCTTAATTGGCAGTTCAGCGACGGAATCATTTAACACAAAAATGCTCTTTTGATTGATTTAATATGAAATGTTATAATAAATGCTATAAAAATCGGATATTTGTTGATTATCAGTGTGATGTACTAATAATTATAGTTAGTATTGAGTCTTTCACATTTATTTACTGCATTTCAACAAATCATAAACCAACAGGAATAAAAGACTATTTTGATTGCAAAATTACGTACACCTGCCAAGCTACATTAATATAAAATTTACCAAAACACAAAGAATCAAATACGACTAACTCAATAATACAAAAATGTAATAACATAAATTAACAGGAATAGCAGAAAAAATAGTATAATTTATAAATGATAATAATATTACATATTGAAAGTCTCTACTAACAGTTATTATTTATGTAATATAGTTTATTTATTATTTTCCTCACAATTTATTTTATAAGTTATTATAGAAAATTTTGAAAAAACACTTATTGACTTGACAATTATTAAAAAATATTTTTTCCGCTTGAAAAAACTTTCTTTCTGGTTCTATGAACATTATGAACAAACTTTTAACATTATTGTTGAAAAAAAATGCTATTTTTGGTGAATATACAATTTAACTACTAGAACAAAGAAAAAGAACTATTTTTCCTATTTTCGCGAAAGCGATTTCAAAAACTCAAACTCCAAGACGAATGTATTAAACGGACTTTTAAAAATTTTTATATACAATCTTTCAAATTTCGAAGCAATAGGCCCTAAGTAACGGATTTTTATAATTTTTTACTTTTTTTTTAATAATTTAAATAAAAAATTTACTTTAAATGTATGGTGAGTGACTATTTAGAATAAAATAAAAATTAAGCTTTAAACGACCTGTGCGTTAGCAGCGGAGGTCTTGGTGGCGCGTATTTATGTTAAATTTTTTGTCTTATATAGGATGTCTCTGCACCCCTATTTTTTAGCAAAAATAGAATATTACAAAATATACCTTCAATTTAGATTATTTTGATTGGGTCATAAAAATTTAAGTTCAAAGTTTTAGAATATTTTTGTTTCATAGTTGTTTTAGAAACAATTGTTATTCGCTGAGATGGTTCGTTCTCGCCTATAAAAATTCGTTCAAATACTAAAATCCCAAACAACCCGAAAACAAGCGTGTACCCTTTATAAAAAATTGTAAAAAACTATTATTGAAAAAAAAATTGAAAATTACCCCGTAAAACACAGTTTATGGACAAATTAGGCGATGCGATTTTGGCAGCAGTAACTTTTAAGATGGTAGCTTAATTCGTTTCAGAAATAATTTACTTTTTTTATTTTTTAACATTCTATTTATTCTAAAATGAGAGGAACGTTTTGTGAAACATCAACTTTATACACGCGATATAACGAACACTATAGGCGTTTTTAAGCCAACTTGTCTCCTGCTTTATCGATCTCGGTACTTACATGCGATAACTGCAAACGTAAGCGTATCCGAAAGGAAGACACTTTCACCTGCACATAACATCCATATATAATTAATTGCAACGGAGAATAATTACGCCCAAATAGCGTCGTCATTTTTTTTTAAAAACCTTCGCCGCAAAGAAATCATTCGTCAATTCACCGGCTCAATGCCGAGGGCTAAAAAATGCAACGGCGAGACGTCCACGGCCAACCTTAACATTGACCACCACCTATCAGGTGAACGCTCCCGGTATTCCGTCGGTAGAAGAAGAAGAAGAAGAAGAACACAGCGCGTTATGAAGGTGCAATATCGCACAGGGCTAACAAAACGAGGTTGCGACATGAGAAAGCGGTTGCCCGTCGCGTTTAAAGTCTCTGGACCCAAATTGTTTTGTTGGTAACCGCGTGTGGCGGTCGCATGGGAGGGAGTTTCCGTTATATATCCGCATCGACCGTCAACAATTTCATATCAAACGGTTAAGGCCGCCGAAAAAGACATCATGAAGATCGTACTATACGCGTTATTGTGCGTCACTGTCGCGGTACGTGCCCTTCCCACTCAAGAAGAGCCGCGCAGCAACACGATCCAAACCGAGAACGATCTGCTGGATTCGATCTACACCGACTGCCTCCGCAAGGATTCCACGTCCTGCTTGAAATACAAGATCTACAATTTCGTGGACAAATCGTTGGGCAACAAGGACGTGATCACCGTCACCGATGGCGTGCAAATCATCCGTACCGGAAACGACAGAGACGGAGCGCCGCGCGCCTTGAAGGGCGACGAGACCATCGAGTCGCTGGTCTTCGATCGGATCGCGAGGTTCTTGGAGTCTCACACCCTTAAAGTGGACATTAAGGGTAGCGAGGTGGTCAACGCGGTCAGCTCCACGGCGAGGAGTTTCAGCGAGTTTACCGAAAGCCTTGAAGATGACGGGGCTGTGGAAGAAGGCAGGGGCAAGAAGAAGAAGAAAAACATGATGGGTCCGTTGATGGCGGCGTTAGCATTGAAGGCCGCGGTCCTCGGGAAGCTGGCCCTGTGGGGTATCGCACTGATCGCCGGCAAGGCTCTGCTTATCGGTAAAATCGCTTTGGTGCTGTCCGCCATCATCGGAATCAAGAAACTCCTGGGTCAGCAAGGCGGCAAACACGTGACGTACGAAGTGGTCGCCCATCCTCAGCACAGCAGCAGCCACGTCAGCACACACGAAGCAGTTTCGGCTCACGGGGGCGGCTACGGAGGCGACGTCGGGGGCAGCTACGGTGGCTCGGCCGGAGGATGGGGTAGGTCCATAGACGCGCAGACATTGGCGTACAGGGGACATTTGCCCGCGAAAGCAGCCCAACCCACTCAGTAGGACGACGAAGGAATTCCCGAAGTACCTGCCAAATCGGCAAGGTGTGAAAACCTGGCCAGCAAAGTCTTATTTATGGATATTTATTGAATTTTTGCTGTAATTAATATAGATTTTTGTAAGACGAATAAGACACACAAGACAAAGACTACAATTACCACAACCCCCGGGCGGTTTAGATTTAAGCGTAATTTTTACTTTGATAAAACCAGTCAATAAAAGTAATTTATAACGCATCGTGTTTCATTCCAAACCGAATGACAATCGGCCCTTAATGGGTGTCTCGATACGCAACGTAGCGCATACAGTGTGGTCAAATTTCACGGCTGACCGCACCTGCTCGTCCCAGTTAACCGGGTGATGTATGTTATGATGATTGGAAGACATGTGTTTTTCCATCAGTGTCAAGGTTAAAACGGACCGGAGAATCACTATAATGCAAATGAGACGTAAATGAGCTTAAGAAAATTGATTATATGCACACGATTATTTTTTTAGAGTCCGTGAAAGTTTTTGTGTATTTCTTCATGTAGGTGTCCCAGTTTTTTTTTGTAGAGTAGGGTAAGTCGCCTCGTAGGTGGAAACGAATATCGTGTGAAATTTTACGGATTTACGGAGGAGTTCGATTAAACACAGCAAACAAAAATAGTTATCAATAGGCCAACGGATCTAAAAATTTTAAAAAATGATTATGACAATCATAGCATAAGAATATAAACCAATTTAATATATTTATAATTATAATAATAATATAATAATATTATATATTTTTTTCTATTTGTTTGTTTAACTCTGGCTGGTCAAAAGATTTCATTCAGTTTTGGAAGAGGTACAATATGGTCCTAAGAAAAATTGCAAATACTATTCACTGTACAGGGTGGTCCGCTTATTATTACCTTTTGGTATATATACGTGTTATCTGTATTTTCGTGTTCCAACTATCCTGTATATGGATATTTTAATATAAAAAAATGATCTGAAATCTATAAAACGTTTTTCTCAAGAAAAACTAAATAATGGGGAAAATGCAATAGCAAATAAAACAAATTAAAAATACAGTTTATCATTTGCAACATTCAGATTCAGAGTTACAAGATTTATAAACATTTTTACAATGAAGAAACTTTTTATGTTTTTTATGTCAAATATGATAAAATTGCTCTATATTGGTATATATAGAGAGTGTTTTTATTTTCGTGTACAACTTACAACTTACTTAATAAATAATATTTGAGTTCCTCGGAAAACTGTAGACATATTTCATATACACAGAAGTTTTACAGTTTCTAACATATTTTGAATTTTACGTCAAATGTGAGGTTAGCATGTCTAAATATATCTATCGATATCTTATGATTAAATATATTTGAGGTTCATTTCCTTATTTAATTTCCTACTTTGGTGGTCTGTGTTGATAAAATAAAAGTGATCAAAAAGTAACATCAAAAATTTAAATGAAAAAATCGAAAGGAAATTTTTATGATGCCAAACTAAACCACTTTTTATGAATATTTTACGTTTTTCTCAAGAAAAAATAAATAATGGGAAAAATGATAACAATAAATAAAACATATTAGAAACATAGTTTTGGTTAGTCATCTGCAACATTCAGATTCAAATTTATACACATTTTTACAATGAAAAAACATTTTATATCTTTCATGTCAAAAATGATACTGATGAAATAATGATAATGATGATGATGATGATTGGGGTTTTTACATTTGACAATGATGACTTTTAACGATTTTTTCATTCAAATTGTCAATGTTACTTTTTAGAGACCTTGAATTTTGGTTTCTTCTTAAATATTCACACACTTTTCACTAAAAGACTCCCTTTTATAAGGAACTCGACCCCAAATATATAACAAATTCTTTCCGTCGATGAAATAGATATATTTGCGAACGTCATATTTGACAGAACATTCAAAATGTGTGAGAAACGGTAAGACTCCTTGATATAATTACACATTGTAGTTTCAATGAAATCTGCAATGTGTAGTTATATCTTCCGACAAAGTGAGTAAACTACTCTTTAAATTTTGAACTGCTTGTCCGGGATATAATTACACACTGTAGACTTCACAAAAACTACAATTTGTAATTATCTCTTCGGACAAGCCCGAAAAATTCGGATTACTAGTCCGTAAGCATCTTTAAATCTTTAAATATATATAGCATCTATGTCGGAAAATTTTCGAGGAATTCAAAGATGTTTTAATAAGTAGGGTGTACTATTAAAATAAGATAGTTGTTACTCCTCCACGAAAATACAAACAGCCTGTATTGATAACAGTATTTTAAAGTATAAGTGAACCCGAATAACTTTTTTGAAAAAGTTTTTACAGATTCCAAAAATAAAGTAGGAATTTAGATTTAAAAGTTTTAAAGGTTTGGCTTGCTGAAAAAAATTAAATACTTTGGTGTTTCAAATAAATCAAATCGGTTTGTTTATATTTTTTTGTGGTTACTGGTGTCATATTTGACTATTATACGAAAACCTCTACCCTAAAGACTAAAGCAACTTTAATAAAAAGCCTACGAGAACTTGAGCAAAACTAAATCAAAATTATTATTGACATAACTCCGGCACTTTTCAATTAGTACTTAGAATTTATTACATATTTTTATGACGCTTGTTTATAGTTGCTTATATTTATTCTTTTCTCTTTTATTGGCTAATTACTTATTTGAAGGGATTTAACAGCGCAGTAAATTTGGGAGGGAGAAGTTTTTAAACATTAACTAATTAAAAAATTAAACAAGTTTTTGCGGTTTGGGATAAAATGACGAAAACAACTTTTTAATGGTAGTTTTGCGTAGTAGTGACGTGATAAACACACAAAAAGTTACTTTAAGGGATAGTACTCGTTCTGTGAAAATGATAACAGGTGAAAGCGTGCGAAGCACGAATACAGAATCAATTCTGGGTTATTTTACGGATCAAATTGTATTGAACTTGAACCATGCGCAGGTCAACCGGAACGCTATCTCACAAATTAACTTAATTATTGATTTATATTTTCTCACAATGTATTTTAGAATCAAAAACCGTTACGAGATTAATATTTTTTAGACAGGGCGTTTAACGTCAATAGTTAAAAATGTCTTTCCTGTAATCATGTTAAAAAAATAAGTTTTGGAAACGTGGGTTTGATAATGCCCCGATTTGATATTCGGAAGCAACATTAATCTATAATGAACCAATTTGTTTTTAATAGTCAAACGAGGCAAAAGTATATAAATGCAATAAGGAATCGAAATTAGAAAAAATTAAAAAGTTTAATATTTTTTAATTTTTCTCGTCGTTCTGTTTTTTTTTTATTTTCATGCATACACTTATGGCTTAAATAAATAATCGGTTTTGCTTTTTTTTATCGACTTGCACTGCTATCCGTTTTTTGAAATATATTTTGTGAACTATATTATTAAATAAATTAAATGAAGATAATTATTTACTTATATTAGCAGGATGAAATGAAATAAATAGAATAAATAAAAAACTAATTAATTTGGCATTTTTTGTAATGAATAACTTCTTATTATTCATGAGATAATTAGTTAAATATTACAACTATTACTATTTCATTTGAATTTAAAATAATAATAATAATAATAATAATAATAATAATAATGTGTAGCTAAACGTGACATTGCACAAAATATTTATTTAGTCTTTATAGCGATTATTTTTTGCCATTTTAAGAAATTTTGCGTGACTGTTTAATCCGACAAGATTACTCCATATCAAAAATTCTTATTACAAATCTATTGTCAGTAGCTTTAGGTAAAGTAAAAGAATTATAACGAATTCGAACCCTCTACTTATTATAATTCTTATCATTGTACGAAACATTAACGTGCGAGTCACGCGCGTCCGTTCATCTGTCAAGATTTCGGAGATTGTGTTAAATTGTAAATATCGATATGGAACGCCAACAATATATTTCATAAACGTCCTCAAATGCCTGTTAATGTAAGAAAAGGATTCTCAAAGAAACTTTTACTTGCTCTAATAATACATACCGAGTTTCAATTAAACTCTGAAGGAGCCTACAGGATGATTGGCGGAACGTCAGCAAATTCGATCGAAGAATCCAGAATTGGATTTTTAGCATTTTCGGATACAATATCCAAAATAACTTATTTTTGAAAAATTCTATTTAGCCCGAAAATTAACGGAATATATTTAAAACAACCACTATATTCTAAGGATTCGGCCGTTACTTATATTAGAAATATTGTTTTAAAACTCTTGTGTGGAACAAAAAAGGTTAATTGTTTCCTTTTTAGTCAATAATATTTTAATAAACAATTCTCCAAAGTATCGTTAAAGTTATTAGAGTGGCCGTGTCATTAGTTTCCTTGTTTCCCTGAGACGTGCCTTTGGGCAAGCGCCAATGCCTCCAATTCAATTTAGGAAATCGGCCTTATCAGTGTCGGCACAAATCGTATTTATTTCTCCCCAATTTTAAATTTGTTTTTTGACCTTCAACATTGTCATTAAAGGACATTATTTTTCTCATGGATTTTCTTGCGATGTCATTTAATGACCAATTCTCTCCATGAAAGTGGCCATTATAAGAAAAGCAAATTTTCTGATTCCACAAAATTTTTCAAAATCAAAAGAGATTTACCATTTCTGTTGTACCTATCTTAATTACTTGTTTCCAAACGACCACCACAATATTGCATTAAAGTTTCAGATTGATTTTGGTTATCAAAAACATACAAAAGAGATAAAGAAGATTAATATCTAAAATATTTAATATCCAATTTAGCTTCTTGTTCAATTTTAGAATCTTGATGAGGATGAAAACTGGGGATATAGATGTTGATGTCGAAGGAATACATAAATTTTTCCCAAAAATTTATGTATATAATATAATATGGAAACAATATTTTATTCATTCGGTGTAGGTAAGGAAATCAACTTCACTTAATTGTTACTAATAAGATGGTTATTGTGGAACTGAAAAACAAATTCAAAAAATAATAAAAAAATAAATTATTAGCGAGCTACAGAAAGGTATTTCATTTATTCATTCATGGTTAGAACGAGATACCTTTAAAATGTGTTTTTATGACTTTCAAAAATTTGTGCTTTTTAAAACGTTATTTACATAATTTTTCATTTAGGTTTCTTGCTACACCATCTTTGTGGTCTTCCCGTTTTCTTATTTTCATGAGGAACCCAATCATAGTATTTTATTGGCCATGCACTGAGCATTT